TAAAAACGAATACATAGGACGGCGGCCAATTTATACGATTTACGATTTGTGGTGTGGAAAATACGGAGATTTCACCTGGTTCTACGGATAATCATGTGGATGGAAAGTTTGAAGATTTAATACCCTCATTTTCAGCATGGTGTCTTGGTTTTTTTGTCAACAAAGTGAAGCACGCCAGCGTTGTATATATAGAAGGCGCATATTTGATATATAATGCCATATAGTGAGATATCGAGGCCTTGCGCCAATTTCTTACTTCAACAGTGCTTACAACATTGATCTAGCCCTCCACCCAGACAAGAAAATAGTAAGAGTTGGGGCCACCACACACGGCCCATTTAAGCGAGACGCATCCGCGCCTCGATTTTTAATACTTCCCTTTTAAATATAATTAGTAACCAACGATTAATCAAATCGCCTTATAATTCACGATAAGTGACACTCTTATATTAAGTTCTCCACCCCAGAAAGAAAAAGGCGAATGGCCTACTCCCGTACGCGCCGTAGTGCGTAGTTTACAACGCGACGGATTTTCCTAGCGCGAGACCGTCTCTAAGACCTACCTTCCACGACGTACTATTCGGCGTATCCTACACTAAGAAACAAGCCGGCGACTACGTAAAAAGAAGGACCGAAAGCCTCATTTGATGTCTATTAGACAGATCCGCTAATATATCCGCCATATCTCAAGAGATTAGTCCACTCGTCGGCTCTCATTTGCGCAGCTTAAAGCCCAATTAGGAGTCCTAGCCTCTATACGTACCATTCGCCGAGAACTACGCCTTACAGGCTACCGACGCTACATATCATACCCGAGACCTTATATATCACGTAAGCAAGCTAAGAAGAGATTAGCTTTTACTTTGGAGCACCGGTAGTGGGGAACGTCGGATTATGCAGCCCATAGGAAGGACGGCAAGCTAGGGGGGGATTAGAGGAAGGTTATATGGTCTAATAAAGATATATTTGAGGTCAGGAAATGTGGAAGGATCTGGGTTACACGCCGGGTAGACGAAAAACGCTATACAGATTACATGCGGTCTGTTTATAGGTCGGGGAGGTTCTCGGTCATGATTTAGGGGGCTATTGGCTGGGATTATAAGTCGGAATTGGCGTTTATAGAGAAGCTTCCTGGCCGTAAGGGTATTTACTCTAAGGCCTACCTCTAGTAGGTCTTACAACCTGTGGTTTTCCCGTTGTTTAACCACCTAGGTCCGGAGTATATCTTCATGGAAGACGGAGCTAAGGTCCATGCCGGGAGTGCTAGACTCCCACGGCTAGAACATGGGGTTCGCGGTTTTAAGTGGCCCCCTTCTTCACCAGATCTGAACCCAATAGAGAAAGTGTGGCGATGGATGAAAGAAGAGCTAAAGAAATTGCTATATGTACTAAAAAATAGGGAGGATATGTGTAGGGAGCTCTAAAAGCTATAGGACTAGGTAGACCCACGTGACTTCCGGCATTCCACAGAGTAATTGACCTACAAGATTGAAGATGTAATTGAAGTACGTGGATTAGCTACTATTAGTTGATCTGTAATTTTAATTTTAAAGTAAAATATTTATAAATCAATGAATAATTAATATTTAAAAAGAGAGGGTCAATTTGATGGTTTTCGCTGGAAACCTTGAGGCCGGGATACTCTATTGGGCCATCCCTTGTACATTGGCACAAAGAAAGACAACTCGTTCTAATGCCTCCAAAGCTAACTATGTCGGTTCAACAGTAACCACAAATCTGCCTTGTCTGACCTGGCCGCATAAGTGCTTTGTCAGCTGGACCTCAAACCCTCTGAACTGATAAACAGGACCACGGTCGATCACCTGCTCTGTCTGCGATGCCTTTTACTAGTAACTTTCAATTCGCAATCTGTCAAGATGGACGACCTTATCAGAGCCATACACACAACACCAATCATCGACAACCACGCACATCCACTGCTGAGGCCTGAAGCCACCAGCAAATACCTACTATTAGCCATTACTACCGAAGCTCATGGTGGTGCCATGAAAACAACACATTCAAGTCTCTCGCATATCCGTGCTGTTAGGCAGTTGTCGGAGATCCTGGGATGTGGAGGAACCTGGGATGAGTTTGTCAAGGCGATCGAGATGGAAAGATCGAAGCCTGATGATTCCTGGAACAAGAGATGTTTCCAGGGCATTGAGACTGCGCTCATCGACGATGGGTTAGACGGGGAACATGAAGTCTTCCCCTATAATTATCTAGATCGCCTAACCAGAAGCAAGAAAAGCGGATTGTGAGGATTGAGAACGAGGCTGAGAACATCATCCAGGATCTACTCCGAGACGCCAACACCACGGTAGACAACTTCTTCGAAGTCTTTGTCAAGGCAGTTGAAGAAGTGATCCTGGCTGCGTTGCGTGATACAGAAGTTGTAGGCTTCAAATCCGTCATCTGCTACCGAGTTGGTCTTGCGGAGCCAGTCTGCGCGGGCACAAATTTCGAGGAAGAATGCACTAATTTGTTCCAAAACCTTCAAAATCAGGGGGCCAAGCTATTCAAGCGAATCGAAAACGAAGCGATAAACTGGGCTCTGGTATACCTCACAGCTCAAATGATACACGACCACCCAACCCCGAACGATAAGAGGAAGCCCTTCCAATTCCATACTGGACTCGGTGATAACGACATCACGCTCACCACCGCGTCGCCCTCGCATTTGCAACCGCTTATGAGGAAGTACCCCGAAGTCCCGTTTGTGCTGCTGCATGCGAGTTATCTGTTTACGCAGGAGGCGGGTTATCTGGCTATGGTTTATGAAAATGTGTACGCGGATATTGGGGAGATCTTTCCGTTCGTGAGTAAAGAGGGTCAGGAGAAGGCTGTGAGAGAGATTTTGGAGTTGTGTCCGAGTGAGAAGGTGCTTTGGAGTACGGATGGCCAGGTGAGTTTGTTTTCGTTTGTGGATGGCCACACTTGATAAGTCCTATTTTAACCTTTAGCTGATCTTCCTGTGAAGTTTGATGACTAGGAGAGTTGAGACGTTTTCCTTGCTTGATATTACTGTTTAGGTCTTCCTCCACAAACGGAAAGCTGATGAGAGCATATATAGTGGTTTCCAGAGACATACCTCCTAGCGACCATACAGATGAGGGAGGCGCTAGAAGTGGTAAGAGATCAAGATATTCGTCAATTTCCTGGGCTGACGTTGCAGGTCCTACCGGAATATGTCAAAACTAAAGTCCTAAGTATTTCACAAGCAATCAAGGTTGTAGAGGATATCTTCTTCAGTACATCCAACAACTTGTACGACTTGGGTCTTTCTATGACGGCTCTTCCACTTAAAGCATTCCCTCTTGGCTGCTCGTCGTCGACATCTGATCTCCGGGAACTCATAACCTTCCTAGCAGACCATCCAACGACGAAGTCTCTACGACTGCAGTATCTAGACTACACCGCAACCTGTAGGACGAGAGTTGTACCGGTCAAGTAGGCACTCATTCTCCTTGAAGCGAACACGCATCTACATGTTGGTGTCACCAAAGCCGCCCTCGGAGTATTGCAGAACGACACTCTTATACCAGGTGTATCAGCTACTGGTGAATACAGACTCGAGGCGATTTCCTCCTCTCTCCACCCCGGGCCAAGTGCTGGCTTCGCTTCTCTGCAGTGCGAGTTCCGTAATCTTGATGGCTCAGAAGTGCCCATATGCCCAAGGTCTACCCTCAAGCGAATAGTCTCCAAAGCTGAATCTCATGGCCTACAGTTCATTATCGGCTTCGAGATTAAAATTGTATTCCTCTCGTCAGACCATGAAGCACAACGCACACCTCTTGCCGGTTCCAGCGGTCACGTCTGGAACTCAGCACGAGCTCTACACAACCCCAAACTCCTTAATATGCTAGCGGAAATATCTGAAGCCCTATCCACATGCGGCATCGACCTCGAAACATGGCACCCCGAAAGCGCCAGGGGACAATATGAATTCGTGCTGCCACCACTACCGCCCCTCGCATCTTTAGATACCCTGATACAAGCGCGTGAAATCATCACGACCGTAGCGGCAAAGTACGACCTAAGAGCCACATTACAACCCAAGCCATTCAAAGACCAACGCGGGACCGCGGCTCATGCTCATATCTCCATCTCATCACCAAATGGGGAGGACAAGAATGTCTACGAGTCATTCTATCAAGGCATCCTCGAGGCCCTGGTTGCCATCATACCATTCGGTTACAGCAATCCAACAAGTTATGAGCGTGCACAAGACGGAGTCTGGTCTGGCGGAACGTGGATCGCGTGGGGAACGCAAAACCGTGAGACGGTGTTGAGGAAGATTGAGGGTAGTCATTGGGAGATCAAATGTCTGGATGGGTTGGCGAACATGTATCTCGCCATCGCAGCGATCGTGGCAGCGAGGACCGAGGGGGTTGTGAAGAAGAAGAAGTTGATATGGGCCGACTGTGGGGTTGATCCTGCGACGTTGGATCCGGAGGGGAGGGAGGACTTTGGGATCAAGGAGAAGATAAGAGATAATTTATCGGATGCTTTAGGTGATCTAGATGGTAGTGCTATGATGAAGGATGTGCTGGGTGCAGAGGTGGTGGAGAGATATGTCAATGTTAAGAGAGGGGAGATGAAATTACTAGAGGGGATGAGCAACGGAGAGAGGTGGAATTGGGTTGTTGAAAGGTATTGAGGCTGTGACACTATAAGACCATAAGCTAGACTCTAGCCTGGAAAAAAAAAATATATATATATATACCGAAGTAGATGAAAGACTCCTAGTAGGCTGGCTATATATCGCTAAACCTAAAAGATTAGGACGGTTCGGGATTAGCTGGCTTAATTCTTCACTTTAACGAATATATCTATTCGTTATATATATCTAGATGGAAGTACGCAGGCCTTCTGGTGCTATATATATTGCTTATGGTACTGTAGGTAGTAATGTGATATAAGTCACGTTGTAATCACGTGAGAGTAAGAAACTGCTCCTAATTACTCTACAGAAGCATAAAAGTGGCCAAAAAAACGGGCCCCTTCCGGGATCGAACCGGAGACCTCACACAACAGAGTTGCTTAACCCAAAGCGTGAATCATACCACTAGACCAAGAGGCCCAACCGCACTCCGTTTCTTCAAGGCCAGATGTTCGTCTGACCAATCAGGAGTGGCCGTTGAAGATTGGTCGTCTGCATGTGTTCTATATCAATTTGTTTCGGAAAGACCAGAGTCATAGATAATTCAGCGAGTCAGGGGATGCTTCGATGCTTTTGGACTAGAGCGAGAATGGCGTTCAGCTTATTACTGGATGCATATTCAGCGTAACCTCGAGTGAGGGGTTCCATCTCCAAGTCAGCTGGCGGGATTCATATACCGTCTTTGGTTCAATCAATCCGTCAAAACACCACTTTGATCTGATAGCATGTGTTATTTGTCGTGCTAACTGCAAGAGCACGCTGTGATACTTGACATCGTTCTGCGTTCCTTGGAGATTAATAGGTTAATAGGCCGGCATTACTCCCTACATTTAAGTCACATTCCCCTGAGGATGTCACCAGAACTCTCCCACGCTGAATACCCAAATCGACTTTACGTTAACGATGGTATCCTGAACCCGGCAATGGTTGGTGAACTCAAGCCAACTTCACTAGACACCCCATTGGACGATGTTCGTCGACGTCTTCGAGACGACGGGTATGTCTTCCTGAAAGGTCTTCTTCCCCAGGCCGACGTTTTGAACGCAAGGGAGCAATACTTTAGACTCCTCGCACCCAGCGGAATTTTGAAGGCTGGAACTGACCCGGTCGATGGGATCTTCAATTCCGCCAACGAGAGCCTCGATTATCCTGCTTTTGGGGCTGGACACTTTGATGGACCAAATGACGGCCCCAATGTCGAACAGTCCGCCAGATACATCGAGCTGGGGGTAAAAGCCCATACCGAGCCATGGTATAAGGAGAGTTTCGCTCGCCACCCTGTGTTGTTGGATTATGTCGCGAAGTTGACTGGGTGGGGTAGAGACACGCTTGAACTTCAAAGGACAATGCTCAGGAATTGTACGCCGGGGAACAAGGCAATCGGAATACACTATGATCAAATATTCTTGCGCCATGGCGAGGATACGGTGTTGACGGCATGGGTTCCAATCGGGGATGTGAGTGTCAATGGGGGTGGCTTGATATATCTTGAGAAGAGTCAGTTGAATTCTTCTCCTAGTGCCTTTCTATAAGTGTGTGTCACTAGAGGTAACGGTCGATGTAGGTCACACACTTGGTTCGGAGATCGAAAGGCGCTTTGCACACCAGGCAAGGTCCACTGGTATGACCGAGAAGGAGATGGAAAATGCCTTTAACCAAAATATGATGGCTGGTGGCATGCTTTCCCAAAATCCAATTGAATTTGGCGAGCAATACGAAAGAAAATGGCTAGTCACTGCCTACGAGGCAGGTGATGTCGTGTTTCACGATTCATACGCGGTGAGCCACCTCTCCATTGAAGCAAGATGCTTGAGTCTCTAGCTATGGGAGTGATGATCTAATGTAGCATATTAGATTCACGCGTCAACGACAAATAATGATCCCCATGGAGTGATCCGTCTAGCAACCGATTTACGTTTCGTCAATTCTCAACGCCCCTGGGACACTGTATGTATAGACTCTTATCTCAGTAGTATAACAATACCTAAGAATATAATAGAGGTGGAAAAAAGACTTCGAACTAGGTGACGGTCTCTGATGCAAGTTGCTTGTCTCTCTTACCGTTTTGAGTTGCTGCTACCTATTCTCTCCTGATTCATTGCCAAGTACTACTCAAAGCATAACCCTATATGCCGGAAAGCGAGAACAGGATTGCTGTTGCGAGGGACTTGAGAATTGAGATTTAATTCGGCGATCTTTCTAGGAACGTTTCTAAAGTCTGGCAAGGCAAAGAGTCACCGAAAAGCAATGGCGACAACAAAAGGGTTAGGGCGGGCATTGCAAAACAACTATGATGAGGTTTGGGATCCCGTGATGCCCTTGGTGAGCATACCTACCCTGGGGGGCTCACGTGATATATAAAGAAGGTTCTGATTTCTTATGCTGGCAGAGATAGATCTCTATCATAGTTCTGTTGCAAGGTTAATAAATGAGCTCGCATGGCAGTTTTGACTTGTGTTCTTCAGTGCAGGTGCTCTGGAATGTGACGCCTTTATTATTTATTAGTCAGCGATATGTTATCCGAAGGGCGTGGCCCCCCTAGCTATTCCTGTCTGACGTTTCTGTGTCTCTAAACTCACCATCAACATTCCAAACATCTATAGACCGTCGAGCAAGCAAAATAATCAAGATGGGATCTAGAAGTCCTGAAGGAGAACAGCAAACGCCCGATGGTTCTGAGCACCTCCAATTGCCCAGGTTAAGGTTAGTGATCGCTAACGATGTGACTAGCATCTAACTCCAACGAGTTCAAGCCGTCCAACACGAGTCCCAAAGGTACTCGAAACGGCTCCTGCTCATCGGATTTGGACCGTGGAGTTATCAACAATGACGACGACGACGACGACGACAAGAATCAGGGAGGCACTCCCGGGATAACCTCCCCTGCGGATGCCAGTAAGTATAACTACACCTCATGGCAGAAAACCCCCCTAAAATGCCCATGATCCTACAATTCACTAAATTCCCTTATCAGATAAAAAAAAAAAGCGCAAGAGGTCTAAGAAGAAGATCAAGAACTCGCTCCCAGCGACTGAGCTGAAGCAATCGTCCCCACCCCGCGTCGTTCTCTCCGCACTTTTCCCTGCTGGGGAATATCCAGGAGGGGAGCTTGTGCCCTACGACAACACCTCTCGCACCATAGATGAAGAGCTGCGCTACAATTCACGTCTTTGGGACGATAGTTTCCTCTCAGATTATCGCCAAGCAGCTGAGATTCATCGCCAAGTTCGCCAGTATGCCCAGTCAGAACTCATCAAACCTGGTGCAAGTCTTCTCTCAATCGCGGAAGGCATTGAAGATGGTGTTCGTTCGCTTTCCGGTCACCAAGGACTTGAGACTGGTGATGGGCTAAAAGCAAGCATGGGATTTCCGACGGGATTGTGCCTCAACAATGTGGCGGCACATTGGACGCCAAATCCAGGTGGGAAGAATGTCGTGCTAGACAAAGGTGATGTCCTGAAAGTTGATTTTGGAGTCCAATTGAACGGACGTATCGTGGACTCTGCGTTTACGATTGCTTTTGATCACACTTATGACAATCTACTCGCTGCCGTGAAAGAGGCTACCAATACCGGCGTGAAGGTGAGTCCGAAGGTAATTCCACCGCTCTTCGGAGAGAGGGCTGACAGAGACAATAGGAAGCAGGAGTCGACGCACGTATGAGTGATATTGGGTCAGCCATCCAGGAAGTGATGGAAAGTTATGAAGTCAACATTAACAACAAGACGTTCCCAGTGAAAGCAATTCGGAACATTACTGGCCATGATATCCTGCGTTACCATATCCACGGTAATAAACAGGTGCCCTTTGTTAGGAGCAAAATTCGTGACAGGATGGAAGAAGGAGAGGTGTTTGCTATCGAGACTTTCGGAAGTACTGGCAAGGGGTTTTTGGACGATGGTGTAAGGGCTAGATTGCTCTCCAAATTGGCTGCTATCGCATTCTAATTCTTGACACAGGTTGGGATCTACGGCTACGGAAGAAACTCCGAGGTCTCAGGCGCCAACTTGCACCTCTCCTCAGCGAAGTCTCTTCTTAAGACCATCGATGCCAACTTTGGTACTTTGGTCTTTTGTCGCCGATATCTTGAGCGTCTGGGGGTACAGAATTATCACCTCGGGGTAAGTCTTACATGGGTCCTTTTGTTCGGTTTCCAAGTACTCACCCACACCCGTTTCAAGATGCGAAAGCTCATCGACAACGGAATTATTGAGTCGTACGCTCCGCTCGTTGATATCAAAGGCTCATATACAGCCCAGTTCGAACATGTAAGTTTTGCTGCTCCATTGACAATTGGCTTTGGTTATTAATGTTTCAAGACAATTCTTTTGCATAGTGGGGGTAAAGAGGTTATCAGCCGTGGGGACGACTACTAGGTCGATGCCTCGCCATATTGGACAATTCTTTTCTATTCTTACATTCATTACCTACATTCAAGTCCTTGATATTTCAATGTCTGCTACTTGGAATATATTACTCGGGATAGGTAAAACGGCTTGTCCTAAACCACAATATATTTGGTGGTATATAAAAGGTCGAAATCTCGCCCGCCAAACCTGGGTTTCACAATAGTTAGAAACTGCTCTACCTAGTAACTATGACTACGAATTCCCTCTACAGTACTAGACCACTACTTTTAACCGATGGATTTGTGACCCCGTACCCCACTAGAACCCAAACCCCTTATTTCTTATTAGATATATCATAGTATAGAAGGCAGAACTTCTAAAATCCAAAGTAGCTACTATATCGGGACCGAACTAAGAAACAAGCGTTTCTTAGATCTATAGCTATTACTAGTACCAGGGAATATTACTCGCTAATTACGAAGCCTACTCATAGAGACTTAAAGCTTATAGTTACCATAACTCTATTTCCAGTCAAGAATTCTATTTAAACCCCGCTTCTATTAATCGAATTACTACTATCTAGAGAGATATTTCTAAGTAGAAAGAGTCGGGTCGGGTCCCTAGATAGGCGAACTCCTTAGGCTAAAGTTTAGCGAAGTAAAGGTTAAGAGGAGTGAGTAAATTAGGTCCGAGGCAGTAGCGGCATAGTAGTACGTGCCTCTCGTATTACTCTAAGAAGTCGGCTTGCTAGGGTATTTGGTTCTACCTTACGGAGCAGGCACTACAAAGCACGGACCAGGTGACAGGGAAGTAATACGACGCAGCCATTCAACACGCTTCTACTTTACCGAAGTTATTTACCATACGAGTAGTACGGTATTCAAGTCTACCAACAATATAAGTTGTCAAATCACTTTTCCTCTCCTTCTCCTTCTCCTTCTTCTTCTTACTATTGTCATCTTTGATTCCTACCCTCATTCACCAAAACTATATCCGTTTAACATGCAATTCTCCACTGTCATTTCAGCGTTGTTTCTTCCTTTAGCCTGGGCCTCCCAGCAATTCCACGGT